GAGTTACTTCCGACTTTTAAAGTGTGTTTTTAATTGTTTTAGCAGTGGACACTTTGCAAACCGATGTAAAAAACAAGGCTGTAAAGTTTGCAAACGTAAACATCATACTATGATACACATTACAGACTTAGTTTCTACACATAGGCCGGTCGCAAATAATGTACCGTCACAATCAGCTGATAGTATTTCTTGTGCGCAGGCGGCCGCTTCGTTACCCACTACAGTCGCATCCGCATCTAACATGACGTTAGCCGCGAGTGTCGCTCATACCAGCCGCGACGCTCGGGAGGTGATGTTATCGACTGCATTAATTAAAATACTCGACACAAATAATCACGAACACATCGCGCGTGCGGTGCTAGACAGTGGTAGTACGTCATGCTTGATAACAGAGAATATGTTCACTAAGTTGAATTTGCCTGCTAAACGCATAAATAAGTCTGTATTAGGTGTCAACAATGCAATTACTTATATTAATAAAATGTGTGATTTGAGTATTAGGTCATTAGACAATAATTACTCGAACAGTATTCAATGTTTTGTTCTCCCGTCAATTACCGATACTATTCCAAGTGGTCATATTAATATATTAGAATTTAATATACCGTCGGATATTGTGTTAGCAGATCCCAGCTTTCACTCACCTGCTGATGTTGATTTAATTATAGGTGCAGATATCATACAGAGATTTAATTATAGGTGCTAGCCGGGTGGCCGGTGGCGTTACAGTTTACGCAGTCCGGTGGATCTGCGCAATCTTTCGGCCTCGTGCACTCGGTTGTGCCGTGGTCACCGGTGCATTTGACGCACCTTGGGTGAGCAAAGCAGTTATTGGCCGTGTGGCCAAAATGTTGACAGTTGTGGCACTGTGCCACAACACCTGACTTACGCGGGGGCTCGATGACTAAGTCCCTGAGCCCACAGACCCTCTTCAGGTTGAAGATGGCCTTACCTTCCAGGGTAGGGTCAAGTTCAGCCATTACCATGTCCATAGGGACACGGGTGCGAGGGTGTCTGAGCCGACGTACGGCGTGTACAGGGTATCCCTGAGTGCGAATGTCGACCTTAGCCATATCGACATCCGACTCTTTCGGGACGCCCTTGATTACAACCCGAAGTTTACGCTCCTCGGGTAGTGAGTAGGTGTGGAAACCTACTTTAGCTTCGCGCAAGTACTTAGTTACGCGGCGGAAATCGTCCGTAGAATCGAGGTATACGCGGATACCCATATGTGTATTCTTGGACCGGGGGTCTCGTATGTTATGGCGTTCGAACCATGAACATATCTGATGCCACTTTGCCTTCTTTGAATTATGATTGACGGCGGTGGCTTGATTTTTCGCTCGGAGGCGAATGTTGGTTCCGACTGGGCAGTCGCGGCTGCCTTTTTGGCGGGCGTCGCGGTGGGACGGTTTGACGGGGCGGCCTCGCTTTCGAGGTCGCTGTCGATAGCGGGGCGTTTCTTGCCCTTTTTGCGCGATTTGACGATGGTGAAGCCGTCGGCGTTCGCGTTGTTAGCGGGGGTCGTTTCGACCTCCATGTCTAAGCCGCCGTCTGATTGTGAGTCGGGAACTACAGCGCGGAAGGGGGCCGAAGTTGATTGCGCGGAAGGCGCGTTAGGATCGATCGCGGCGGCGGAGGTCGACGCGACGGGCGTTTCGATTGTCGCAGAGGGCGACACAATAACTGGTGCAGATGGCACCGCAGATGGCGGCGAGACGGCAGCCGGTGAAGCCGGACTGTCGCTAGAGAATTCGACGACAAGGCGCCGTTCCCTCGCGAAGCTGAAATATTTTGCCCATACTTCGGGGCATTCCTGCCGAAGGAACTCCTCTAAGAGGGAACCCATGACGACGCTTGTGCCTTTGGGGCTTGCGCCCCGCCGGCGTGTGGTTTTCTAAATAGGCCTCCCCACCTTGCGGCAGGGAGGTGTGTGCCTAAAATTAACCTTTAATCGCCTGCGCTTTAGGTGCGCTAGGGTGAGTACCTAGCGGTCGCCTAATGCAACAAGCACACAGGTAAAAATTACAATGCCGCCTCTGAGACGAGAAATGAGTCTAGAATTCTACTTACGGACAGGAACCTGCCTACGAGCACAACACTACACTAACACTATCCGCTCGGAAATCGGGCAAAGTTTCTTCTTTCTTCTGTAACGTTTCTTCTTTCTTCTATAACTTTTCTTCTCTCTTCTTGCTTGAGACTTCCCTAACCGTAGACCGCGAAACACGACAACGATGAGGCAAGCAGTGCACACCGAGAGATAAAAGAAATGATATTGGCAACAACGGTTGCAAGATGGCTTCCGGGTCGGTTGGCATGGGCCCTCCGGCTCAGATTTACGTCCGTTCCGTGTGGAAGCACGAAGCGGAATGGATAACTTCGGCGTTTATGAGCCAATTTTGATGATTCTTTTTTTTGTCGGAAAGGTTGGTACCATGGAAAGGAAACCCTGAATTGACGATGGCATCCCAGAGAAATCGAGGGCAATCATTAAATGTTATATTTATTAACAACGTTTTTAATTTTCTCATTGAAGTCGGTTTTTTTTTTTGTTAAAAATTATACTTGTTTAAATTATCGAAATAATAATTTAGCACACGATTGTTACTTTCTTATGTGAGGACGTGGCAAGCTAGCAGTGCATGCATGCATCCATTTTCTTTTTTGTTATTTCAGATTAATAGAAGATTTTAAACATGCAACGAAGATTTTTTTTTATTTTCAACCAACGAACACAATGGTAAAACATGATAAATGGAAATAATCCAAAATTTTTATCGAACATTATGTTCTATATCACTATATAGTATGAAATAAAGTCGTCCCGCTGTCTGTATGTATGCTTAGATCTTTAAAACTTCGCAACGGATCTTGGTGCGGATTTTTTTACTAGATAGAGTGATTCAAGAGGAAGGATTATATGTTTAATACATTCCATCCTTGCGAAGCCGGGGCGGGTCGCTAGTAAAATATATTTTCAACGAATATTATTTTCTCGAATTAATGTGATTGGACAATATAAAAGTTGACCTGTTTTATACTTTCATATGAAATTAGCCGTCGTGCGCACATGCTGCGTGCCAAAACATAAACAAGCAGTTCGCTAGCAAAATGCCGCACGGATTTATGAACCGAAAGTGCGATTTCGTGGACCAGTAAATGCATAATTCAGAACCCGTAATGTAGGATACACCGCAATGCAGTCTCTAGAATGCTAACGCTTGCATTGAAATACAGTCAACGGCCATCGGGGTCAAGGTCCGTACCGATCTTCGACGGTTCGTAGGTAACACTCCCTGTAAGTGGTGTACGCACTACGCACACAAAACGCACGCATGAGTACATACGTGGCCTACCCAACGGAATCTAACTCGTAGGTTCTAGCCAAAACTCACGGGTCGGCCCGTAGGTGACACTCCTCCCTATAACGCACATACGTGCCTTATCTTCTGCATGTACTCATGCGAGTAAATGCGTGGCCCTACCCTATGTGGAGCGCAGTTTGAAACTTGTAGTTTCTGTCCATCCCACGGCTTCTGCATTTGAAGATGCTTTAACGGTCTACAAACTGAAAGCAAAACATCAGTGCATGAAAGCTGATATTGAAGTTAAATGTGCAATTGTTTTTTCGGAATAATTTTAATCGATGGTTAGAAGACGAATTGCGTTAAAATGACAATTTACTATACATTTTCGTATCTGCCCACAAAGACAGCTAATAATATCCACTTTGCATCTTAAAATGAGTGATTGTCTTAGTATAAATAAGTATAATATAAACAAGATCAATAACAAGTACATTCTTTTATTCACCCGTGTGTGTTTTATTTTCCTATTTATTGATGGTTTGAAAACGAAAAGTAAGAAGTTTCTTATACACAATGCTACCAATAAATACGAACAGATAAAACACGGTAAAGTTAATTGTTGTCTGTCAGATTTATAGACTTACATATAGTAAAGGTATATTTTTAAAATGCCTTATCCATACTTCCATACTGATATTATGAATGCGAAAGTATTTCTGTCTGTCTTGCTTTCACGCCAAAACTACTGAACCGATTTAAATGAAATTTGGGACACAGATAGTCTAGAGCCTGAGAAAGGACATAGGCTATTTATTAATTGAAAAAAGGGTTACAAAGGGTTCTTAAAGGGGAAAGATATTTATTTTGGGGCTTCAATGCGAGCGAAGCCGCGGAAAGCTAGTAAGTAGCTAGCTTATAAGTATCATACGTAAGTATCATAATAAAACATTATATCACGGGGAGCGTCAAAGTGGCAATGTATGTCATTGCCACTTTGACGCTCCCTGTAACAGTTTTATAACGCCCTCTATATTTTTAGTCACTAATTAAAGTGCGTTGTGCGAACCCTCATGAATGGATGAGCACGCATGCGCAATACGCATCGATCCACGAAAGCGGCAGGTAAATTATGTATTTAAATGAGAGAATTTTTATCAGTGCACTATTAAATACTATCAACATTCTTATCTCGCGAATGACACTGAGAATTATGAGAATTATTTTCAGGTGATCCAATATTTTCGGTTGCCTCAACCTTACGCGTAAATGTATATTACCACACACACACATTTATACAACAAAACAAAAGCTTACAATGGTGAAATAATTTAACAATTATACTAAAGAACTCAGTGGCAGTAATCACATAAGTGTAACTTCAAACTTAATTTATCATGTTTTAACTTCAGTCTCAGGCCGGGCAATAAACAGTTTTCTGATTCGGCGCACTGGAGCGTAGCTTGTTGCGTTTTGCCACCAGTAGAGGCGCCACCGTCGCCGCGTCGTGCGGGCGTATCTGTCAAAATCGGAGAAAAAGACTGCCGATCGATACAAAACCTTAAATTCAAATAAAATCTATTATCATTCACCAAAAGTGATCGTAAAAATTGTTAAGATGCAAGCTGTCACATAAGAATGATCATGTTAAATTAGTTACGGAGTGCAGCTCGATCTTTGCCGTCTTCCAAAATGAAGATTGTTGTTTTCGTTTTTCTGGCAACTTGCGGTGTCGCCGTCGCTAATCCGGACGCTAAGAGGCTGTACGACGATTTGTTGAGCAATTACAACAGGCTGATACGGCCCGTCGACAAGAACAACAACACTGTGCTAGTCAAACTGGGCTTGAGACTGTCCCAGCTGATAGACTTGGTAAGTTCCGTCTTTCATTATATAAAGCACATCTGCCTCACCTGTCAGCTGTCAGCATTAAGTCCACCTATGAACAGATTTGTGCATGAATCTTTAAAATAAATAAAGTGTTACGATAATTTTTATTTCCGTTATTAATATTTTAAGGGTACATCTACATTCAGTAATTTTCATTAATATATTTCCAAATTTTTAATCCTTACTAATATTATAAAGGCGAAAGTTTCTATGGATGAATGTTTGTTACTCTTTCACAACAAATACTGCTGAATGGATTTTAAAGAAACTTTACAATAATATAGCTTATACATCAGAATAAGACATAAGCTATAATTTATATACATATTTTACGTATATCTGTCTGAATGTTACGCCTTCAGCCTATTCTACGCAGACGTAGTCGCGAGCAGCAGCTAGTGTTTTATATACGTAACCCATATTTCCATCTTGGTAGTGTTAACTGTCATACATATCATAGATTTTCATCATTTAAAAGTTGTTAAGTGGATTATTAAGAGTCGTAAGTTTCTATTTTATGAGGACGAAATAAGGATTTATGATGGAAAACGTAGAATTATTAAGAAAATTTTTTCAAGTACTTTAAACAATCTTTTCTTAGTTTTAATAGTTGAAACCGACTATTAAATGTTTTTTTTTATGTAAGAAAATGGCAAACGAGCTAACCGTTCACCTGATGTTAAGTGAAAACAGCTGCCTATAGATTGCAAAACCCGTAGGGTTACAGATGCGTTGCCACCTATTAATACAGTGGGCACCAGCTACCTTACTCACCAGACGAAACGCAGAAGTGTAACAATTCCCATTAACGCCGGTCTTCTGTGAGGTCGTTATTACTTCCCCGAACGGACCTACCCATTCGAGCAACACCGAACATTGTTGCGTGGCCCTACAACAGAAAGTGTATTTACATTTAAGAGATGACTAGCCAAGACAGCAAAATAGCGAGCCGTAGATCATGTAATAAAACATTACAAATGTACGTGTAACATCCATATATACATATCTTATAAATAGTACAACCATTTTCTGAAATAAAATTCGGGTCACGACAGGTTTAACTAGCCGAAACCCAAAATATTATTATATAAAACGTAAAATAAATATGAAATTAATAAAAGCCGAACCAACCAACTTCATTACATTTCTATTTATATGCTACTTCTTGTGAACGAACATCGTTGACGAAGATTCGCAAAAATAACTCTTTTAATATGCCCTTTCCCAGAATCCTATTGATTATATCTTATTGTTACCTTTCCCGGAATCCTATTGATTGTAACATATTGTTATCGATATTTATTTACATTGTTTGACTACAAAGCTAAGTGCCGATTCTTCTCTAAGCAAGTGCCTGAGTGTTTACAAACCTGCAAGTAACCAAAATAGGTACAAGAATCGGGAAATGTGACATATTAAATAACCCTCCTTGTGGCGCAGTCGGGTAAAAAACTCCCATGTGCATGTTACCTTTCAAACGATACATTCATTTGCATTTTTTTTTTATTTCAAACGTGATTTGAAACACTGCTACCCCGACTTAATCTGGAAGCTTTAAATATTTACGTAGTATTTAACCTTATACAAAAGGATATCTAAGTACAGCAGACACGACTGTCTCCTCGTTAGTAGGTTAAACACAAACAAACTAAGTTTAATTAGAGAAGAGGTTGCAAGCTTGTAAATCCACAGAGGGTTCTGTGAATATCAAATTTAATTACTGGTCATTGCTAGTAAATTTGTTACAATTAATACACTTTATATAACAAAAGTAGCGCATTTTATGATGATGAAAAATGTTATTAATGCATAATAGAATATTGGCAATAATAATATACATTGAGTTCATGAGAGAAATTATCTTTTGCGATTTCTGTTAATAAATGTTATTACAATATTCATACTTTTCTCTAACCAGTAATACAGCTATAGAAGACTTTGTCGAGAAAATATAACCCCTATGACTATCACAATAACGAACTAGTATATTAAGTACAATATTATAAATAATTCGTCTACATAAAATTGTCAAACTAAAATGCTCGTACCACAACTAAATTAATATACAACAAACCTTTCAAATATAATATTAAATAGAAAAATAAAAAAAAACTTTGTAAGATTTTTTGAAAAGCTGCAAGTCTGTCATACCAAACATGAAAATAACAGACTTGCAGTTTTTTTCAATAGCATTTTTGAGTATCAATAATCGTATTAAAAATGGATTGTATCCAGTTCATTACTACCATGATCGATATCCCAAATAAAATCAAAACTATAATTTTCATCATTAGTTTTCTCATTAACCAATTTTTAACTATTTTAAGGCAAGACTTTACCGTAAGCACATTTTAGTATAACCCGGATTTGTATAAATCTTGAGCATGGAAAAGAAATCAAAGCGGAGAAAATTATATTGAGTAGCGAATCAGTTTCTTTTAAGTAAAGTATATATTTCATAGTATAAAAATGAAAGCAAAAGGAATAATTCGTAGTATCGATCGTATACGAAAGTGTGCCTATGTATTCTCGTCACTTAGATAACATTAAACTTCCACAACAGCTACGGACTCCACGTGTATTCCAGGAATACTTGGGTTACCGGCGGAATGTTAAATATGGGGCACAAAGGGCGATGCTGTGCAAAATGGATGACATATTTTTAGTTGTTAGGCGTACACCTGTCTAACACGCGGGCGGTACACGAATTAAGCCTCATTTGAATTTCTTGACACTGGCAAGAAATTTGGGGTACATATTCTGTGTTGTTTTTAAACAATATATTTCTAGCAAACAAATTAACTATCTTTCACCAGATATATGGTGACAGCGATTAGCCAATCACATTTCCGTGCTTTGTGTTTGCAAGATAATTTAATCTTTCACAGATTTTCCAGGTGGTTTATGTGATCTTCTTGTTTGTGAGCATCCTTGAAACATGTATACCTCTATTTCATCGGTTGCCTTAGGAGGCAGTTGCCAGTTTGAGTTAAAGATGGCAGCTTGTATACTTGTTTACTTTTATTGATAACTCTGCATCTAAGTGGTGGCCTCCTATTTTTAAAATGCTGTATATATATGCTGGTTATGGTTGGTTTGTTTAAAGGAGATAAATTGTATTCAAAGTCATCATTATTGAAGCATAATATTCCAGACTAAAGTGTGTTAATGGCTTAGTGGAAATAGTGAAAACTAGTTCTCAAAAATTACACAGACCATAAAGGATAACTTTGAAAACATCAGAAATGCTTTGCGAATTACATTCTTTAAACAATAATGCCCCGGCAAACGAATTTAAAGTTATTATTCGCAGTACTATGTTCGCAAATAACAACATTCGTTGCTGCGAGTTACGTAGCACTAATTGAAATGGAATAGACATTTACAACCCGACCATGGTTACTTAATTGCGATGCAGTTGCCACGTGAGCCATTTCGGGCTGCTCGCTAACGTCCTACGCCTCACTTGCACGCCCAATTTTATTCCGCTCCAGTACCGCTTTATGCCTTTTTTATTGTGCGACCTTCGGCGTACTTCGAAGTGAATCTTGCCAGAATTCTTTCCTTTTTACGGATATCTCGGCAAGTCTTTGCCGTCCGGTTATTTAACAAGAATGTACCATAAGTTTGTCGTCCACAACTCGCGCAGTGAAACTGTAGCTCTTTTCTGCCGTGATAGCTAGTTTACTCGAGCAACCTGAGTTCAATCCCCGGTGCCGGCACCAATGAAGTTTTTAACTTTAAGTGCTGACTTATCATGTGCTCCGCGGTGAAGGAAAACATCGTGAGGAAACCTGCATATTTTCGAAATAATAACAAAAGAAAAATATTTTTCGAAGATATGTGAGGTCCGCCAATCCGCAGTGGGCCTTCGTGGACTATGCCCTGATACCCTCTGTATAGAGGAGGCCTTTTCCCAGCAGTGGGACATATATGTTGGCAACACTAAAAGAAGTGTCATTCTATGGGGTATAAATGAAGCTGCATGAGGAATTTCATGGTCGTCGTCTTCGTCGTCCTCTTCGGCTGTCAACAAGAAGTATACTCGATAGTGCTGCCCAATCGGTATCACAGATTAAATCGTTAGAGTTGTGTTCCTCGTCTCTAAAAGTGAAAGTAAGTAATTATACCAGTGTTATTGTAGTGCAAAATAAAACTACGGTGATTTGGTAAAAGTATTTATATTTCTATCTTCTTAGCTCGATAAAACAAAATAAAAATAAAACTAACATATATAGACTTACTTTACAGTAAAAATATAAAAAAGCAGTATAAGTATGTTACTAAAAAAAATATGTTACAATAAAAATGTATGAATTGAAGGATGAAGATATTAACAATTTATAAAAATATATTAACGCAAGCGTAAAAAAAAATTAAAAGTTTAAAATCAGATTTTTTTCTAAATTATGTCATGGGAAATAAAATTTTCTAATCTAGATTTCTGATTGGGTCCACAATCGTATGAATTAATGAATTTGCCATACTGTATACACAGTATGGCAAATTCATTCTTCTTTCGCAGAAGAAAATTGATTAATTGTTGTTTTAGCGGCAACAGAAATACATCATATGTGAAAATTACAACTGTCTGACTCTCACGGTTTATGAGAAACATCTTGATGACATACAGACGTTCAGACAGACAGATAGTGGAGTCTTACGGAACCCTAAAAAAATAAATAACGAAATTCAACTATGGTAATGGTGGACAATATTTTACTTCCATTATGTAGTCTGTTACGGTGGTAGGGCCACGCAGCAACCCCGGTTGTTGAACGAATGGGCAGGCCCGTCCGAATAAGTACCACGACCTCACAGAAAACCAGCGTAAAGTGGAAGTATGACAAATACTTTCGCGTTTCGTCTGGTGAGTGAGGTAGCCGGAGCCCAATTTTCAAAAGGTTGTCAACGCATCTGTAACCCTCGGGAGTGGCAGAGCGGCGGTATTCACTTAAGATCAGGTGAATCGTATGTTCGTTTAACTTTTCGCATTAAAAAAAAATTAGTCGTATGTATGTATGTACGTCACTGAAGCCCTCGAAGTAAAATGTCGAAACATGCTACCGATTTTTTCATGTTTCAAACATGTTTTACATAATTATGTGACTACCTACATTTATTGATTACATTGACTGATTGGGTTAACAACCAGACCAACCTATGGTTGGCAAATACATTACTCTTACGTAGAAGCAAAGTAAAGCACATTTTTAGACTTCTCGGGGCTCATCTTTTTAGAAGATACAAATAATGATTATTACTTATCCGCCAAAACACCATCTATTTTTATCCTTCTCTTATTATACGACCTAATAAAAGAATTTTGATATTCTACGTACGTGACACTATTTACGAGGGGTACATTCGTTTTGATGAGCAAGGAGACTTTCTTGGCGTCCCTCCAAGAAACAACAATCGATAGTCCTGCGTTCTGGCTAAAGAGTTTTCATATCTCGCGTTGCTGGTAAAAATGAATTTTAATTCGTCATTCTTTCTTTTGTTTCAGAATCTTAAAGATCAGATCTTAACTACCAACGTTTGGTTGGAACATGTTAGTATGAATATTTAAATATTGTTTTCTTAGCTACTGACTTTTCTTTCAAAATTTCAAAGAGGCATCTAAAATTCAAGGAGAAAAGCAATTACAAAAATGTGCTTAGATTTTTTACAAGTTCGTTAATATTTTTTAATCTCGTCTATCGTTTATATTTCTTTCCGATTCTTCTTTTACTTTTACATATAGTTTTCAAGTCTATTCTGTTTCATAATTATGAATATTAATATTAATCTATTTCTAGGAATGGGAAGATCATAAGTTCAAGTGGGACCCCAACGAGTATGGTGGTGTCAAAGAACTATACGTGCCTTCAGAACACATCTGGTTGCCTGACATTGTTTTATATAATAAGTAAGTCATCAAAATGATATAAAACGTCATACCGGTTTCATTTAACCGTAATTTCAACATCTACCCTGATTCAGAAGGCAGATGTATACCTTGATGCATCCACTATCCACGACTTCACGAATGTGAAGGAAAGTTTCTAAATTTATTATCACGAAAATGGAAAAACTTAATAGTGTTTTAACATTTAATTTCGTATTTTTCTCTAAGGCATTCTAACTGCATAGGTCTTTTGATTGGAGGAATGAAGTAATCAATAATTCGATAACTGCGCCACGTAGCATTGTCGTGGGTTCGATCCCCACACGGGACAACTATTTGTGTGCTGTACAGCACACAGATAGTTGTTTCGCATCTGGGTGTTTATCCACGTCAAATTTATGTGTTTAAAAAACGTCCTTACAACACAGGAAAATGGTATCAACGTAAGGGTAAAGTTAAATAAAGAGAAAAAACCACCAATTACAACATGATTTAGATGTGCCGACCCCACATAGGTGAGATAAGAAGAAAGAGAAAGAGATGAAGAATTATGATAAACACTAGATTCTCTCTCAGCAGTCGTGAGTTGAAATCGTACTTCACATACGAGCTTCCTGCCATTTCTGATATTTTGCGTATAGCTAATAAACTTTTTCTATTTCAATACGTAATTCCGATTTCATGTCATTATTTATTAATAAAACAACTTAACACCGTCGCTCCTTAATTAAAGCCAGCATGCAGCAGGCTGTTTTAATCTGTTGGCAAGGAGGTAATCTAAAATTTGCTGTTTACGACTCGTATATTCCATACATGCTTCGACAATTTGCATTTTCAACTTGTTATAACACGATCCCATTCGCTTGGCCGCACCACTACAGTTCTGTAACAAGTTGGCCTAAACAATGCAATTTGGTGTCGTCTAATGTTCTAATGAACGCTCCAAGTCTAAGTTGCCGGGATACGCAGCATGCGCCAATTAGTTTGCTCTCATAAGAGTAATTTCCGAGCAGACATGCAATATGCATGAAACATGGAATGCCTTGAACGTCTGTGGACAAATTTCTCGTGTGATACATTCATAAATTACATCATTAATGCACTTGGTAGGGTCATACATAATTCGCTGTGGCAAAAATGGACAGGTCCGTCCAGGGAAGTACCGCGACCTCATAAAAGACCGAAGTAAAGTTGAAGTGTTATACTTGTGTTGTCTGTTATTTGTGTTGTGTGTTGCCTGTCATTTCTGAATTAGGTAGCCGGGGCCCACTTTTATAAAAGTTGTTCATGCATCTACAATCTTATGGGTATAGAAAATTTCCATGGGTGGCGGTTATCACTCAACATGAGGTGAATTAACCACCACCTCGCTTAAAAACGTTCTTGACCACTTTTTTTATGTGAAAGTTGTCAAGCGAACAGACGGTTCACCTGATGGTAAGTGAATAACACCACCCATGGACATCTGCTACACTCGAGGGTTTCAGATGCGTTGACAACCTTTTGAAAATTGGGCTCCGGCCACCTCACTCACCAGGCGAAACGCGAAAGTTTTGTCATACTTCCACTTTACGCCGGTCTTCTGTGAGGTCATGGTACTTACCCGGACGAGCCTGCCCATTCGTGCAACAGCCGAGGCTGCTGCGTGGCCCTACCACCGTAACTTGAACGGGAACGTAAACAGAGATCAGAAACTAGGCATTTAACATTTTAAAGAAATAAGCGTAGCTAGATCACGAGTTTTCTAACGCTTAAATATATTTATGGACAAAAACATTTTCGTTTTTTTGTGAAAAATATTTCCTTCCTAAAACCTCATATTTACGTGAAAAAATTAATGCTAATTAATTATGTTAGGCACAAACACGCTGTTACGTATAAATGCGAACTATACTACAGTAACAGTCGACACATACATACGTGACAGTTAATGTTATCCAAATATATCTGTTTTTATTCGCAACCACAACTCAAATTCTAAACCATAATCAAAGATTGTCAAATTTTGTTTATATTCTTGGTCAGAAATGTTCTAAGTCATTTTAATTTCATAATTTATTGGAGCATATTTTACACGCTTACAATTGGTAAGTAATTGGCTGGTAAACATGCAATTCTTTTAGAGCAGTGGTAACTTAGATCTGGATGAAAGCCTTGAAAATTAATGGACCAATAATGGATTTGTATGTATGTATGCGCGTGTATTGAGGACAGTACCGTGCCTGATACTAAAATGTAATTCAAGGTTATTTTATTTAATTTGCTATTAAAATTTTAGCCTTATCTATCTAAATATTTTCCTGACCCTTATAAGTTTAGAGATTTAAGTGAAAGTGCGCCTTAATTATCTCCTCCCTAATTAAATGATAATAAACTTGTCGTTGTTACAACATGGCTTCGATTTTAGGAGCCTTTTAACGATATTAATGTTTTATTGATTAATGTTTCAACGCCTTTATTAGGAAACAAACATTTTCATACTGCTGATATTAATAACTGATATTAATATTTAACTTAACAATTTACATTAACTAATTAACACATTGAATAAGCTTTGACGATTGTTATTATAATTTGTCCCTACGTTATAAATCCTAAATAATCATTTCAATTTAATTGGTTACAAACAAGAAGTCGAATAGTCATTATTTTAATGAAGGCAACATAATAACGCTTAATTTATCTATAATATTAAATGGAATAACAAGGTAAATCTGTATAATCAAACTTAAGGTAAAACCAAATAACTAACTGTTACGTCTGGATTAGAGATTTTAACCGACTATTACCGTTTTAAACTTAGAGTACATATTTTCATCTATGCTTCTGGATATGTTTCAAATACGTAAATAATAATATGTACGTATTCTATCATATGAATTCATATCAGATCTTATCAAAACCTGATTTGCCTATTACTCTTATTGTTGCTTTGACCTATTTTATGATTAGCACAACCCCTGTGACGTCGTCTAATTCTTTTCACGGATTAACGATTGCTATATCATTATTCTAAAATCAGCACCACATTTCTCTCGACTCCAACGAAGCGAACAAAAAAACTATTGTTTTTATTACACTCTAAATAATGGATGTCGTCGAAGCTCTCCTTGCTTTGTATTCCTTTTATTATGTAGTAGACATTGTGATCGTAATAAAAACTAAAGTATACTAACGCCATTTCGGTTCCCCCTTCGTGTCAACCAACTATTATCTATGGTATGCAATACTCTCTCCGCGTAAACAATACGTGTGTCGCGATTATTCAAAAAGGAGAACAGTTTTTGTCAGAACAAATATTACGTTCCAATTTCAGTGCTAATAGTTCACTAGATATTAAAAAAAAATTAAGTAAGCTCTGTGTAAATACTGGCACAAGTCAGTGCCAATAATGAAGGTTGTTATGATCTTGCATAATTTGTATAACTTTTTTTTTAATAAGTCACTAAACGAATATTTAAATAAAAGACTTCGAATTTTCGATTCTCTCATAATGTTTTCGTTGGAACTAAGATAATACCACGGGTATATTGCATCGCTCCTCCACCTTAGCTTTACACAGGTTTTATTGTACGGTAGAATAAGCCCAAGATAATCCTAAACTACTACTACTTTGCTTGCAGTTTAGTAGCTGCAGCACCAAAAATAATATTCCGAAGGGTTCTCTTGGAGGTTGATACATTTAGTATTCATTGTACAGAGATCTTCTTTTGTTTTGTTTATTTTTGGATCTTTATTATTTACTTGAAATATATCATATATTATAATAATTAGGATTATGACTGAAATTTCATCAGTGAATTCCTTTTATGAAAGCCTCTAAATATGAGCTTATCGATACCGTGCAACAAACCTAATAATCACAAAATCAATAAATTACAATAATTCCCATTGGTACCATTCATATTTCATTTGTAACATGTGTATACTCATATAATAATTAATCTGTCCAGTACTACATGTTAATTGATTAAAAAAAAACTGAGCACTGAAATACCATCAAAAATGACGAAGCTTAAGGACAGGGTGTACAAAGTTAATTGACGGAGTATAGCGATAAGAAAGCGTTGGCGAATGATACATCATGTTGTGTCAAAACAGCCCGGCAAACTATTAATCATAGACAGAAAATGAGAGGATGACGCACGTGCTAGCAGCACATCTTACGCTGAGTCGACCATGTTGGGATGGTCTATGTTACGAGCGGGGTCGATGGAAGGCTAATTCTCGTCGGAGGGAACGTGGCGGAATTCAAACCTACACCACAAGCAAATGTGGTCCAATTTTACGCTAAGTCGACCATGTTGGGATAGTCTATGAGAGGATTTCTCTCATTTTCTCAGATTAAGAGCGGGGTCGATGGAAAGCTAGTTCTAGTCGTATGAAACGTGGCAGAATTCAAACCTACACAACAAGCAACTATCGCATCATAGCTTTAGATATGTTTTAACATAAAACAAAACATATGAATAAGGAGCCCATTTTAAATTAAATCAACATATGCAGATTCACTGCAATTAATATAACATTGTGAATGTAACAGTCAGATAGAAATAGCTGATCAAGGTGAAAATGAATATAACAGTCTAGATAGAGAGAATATAAGTGTCAAAGTCAAAAGTCAAAGTCAAATATCTTTATTCAATATAGAAGCATTCACTTACTTATTGATAGTCAAAAAACTCTACCACCGGTTCGGAAGGTAAGCCACTGACCTGAGAAGAACCGGCGTAAGAAACTCAGCGGGACATTATTTTTTTTTTTACTTGCCAAAAAAATTACAAATATGTGTACAATTATTAGACTCCTATTAAACTCCACTTGAAAGAGCCTGGAGCGATCAATTCATTTCCAGAGTGTGTTATCATTCATATAATCACTAATACTATAATAGCCATTAACACACAAACGTTCCTTTACAAGTTTTTTGAATTTAGCAACGGATTCATTTTGAACGTTTTCTGGGATTTTGTTGTAAAAGCGAATACATTGTCCCATAAAAGATTTACTTATTCTACGCAATCTAGTTGAGGGTAGAACTAATTTATGCTTGTTCCTAGTATTTACATCATGCACATTGTCAGGAACACAATTGCTACAAAACACCAAAATATCATTACTTACATTATGTAGGTAGTCAAGTTCAATCCAGTTTTGAAGTACTCAATTAAAAATGTAAATCAAAAGATGCATATAAATATCAAAAGGTTTAAAACGCAATTTAGTATTTCTCTATTTATTAATTTATATTAATAACTCTGCCTAAAATTCGCTGATATCTTCATTTTACACCACAAGCACTTCGGACCGCACGACCGCCTGTTTCGTATGAGTTGCTTTTTGACGAGAAATATCGAAACTGTCGCGAATGTGTTTCATGCTTCCATATCATCGTAAGCTAAATGAAAAACATTGAGAAAGAGATCAAATCGGTATCACGTACTTATCACATTTGTATGAACCTGTGGCTGAGCAGTATACAAAAATTTAAAAGCTAAATCGGTTTAACACGTTAGATTAATATTATTACATATTCGGATATGTTAAAATTGCTCGTTACAGGCCAGTCGGAGTCAACGCTCAGATTTATATCCTAGTCACTTGGAATCAAACCCTTGGATAGAATTTAATGTGGTGTCAAACTTTGCTCCGTTTTAAAGCATGTTTTTGCTACAGAATATACTAAGAGAATAGAAACATGACACATGTCCGAAAAAACAATATAGTCTTTTAATAGACGTGTTGAAAGAAAAACTTTACAATACTAATGAACGGATTTTTGACAGCGCTGATGGGGAATACGTGGTGACGACAATGACTAAGGCTGTGCTCCACCACACCGGTAAAGTATTATGGACCCCACCGGCTATTTTCAAGTCATCGTGTGAAATCGACGTGCGCTATTTCCCTTTCGATCAGCAGACCTGCTTCTTGAAGTTTGGCTCATGGAGCTACGATGGGGACCAGGTAATTTCAATTAAGTCCCTAAAGATAGCTCATTTCTGTAACATTTAAGATATTTTTGATAAAATTATGAAATATTAACTAAACGAGATGTAACATTTATTTATTATATAGTAAAAGTGCTTGCTACTCTTTAAGATTGATTTGAAGCACATCAACCAGAAAAAAGGAGATATGGTAGAGGTGGGTATCGATTTACGCGAGTACTATCCATCCGTGGAGTGGGATATTCTTGGTGTACCTGCTGAGAGGCACGAGCGTTATTATCCATGTTGTCAAGAACCCTACCCAGGTATTTACTTAAGTTTAGCTTTTATTATACCTCACCAACAGATTGGCCTTTTCCGGTTTCATGCAAATTGATATCAGCTATGCGACGGCTAGCAGTTATATAAGTCTTCCTTATAATATATTTAGTGTATCGACGACGATATATTTTCATACAAATAGCCTGTATCAAATTATATACTCTTAGCCAAACAGCCACAGCTGACAAGCTAATGGCTTCCAAAGTGCCGCATCACATTGCCAGCAGTTTAAAAGCCCATAAATCAACCGGACGTATTCAGCCCAACGATCGGTATTCACACAGCGCGCCTGTTAAGTATTTCTTTGTCAGCATTAGCGAAACAAGCGTTTAACCTGTTCAAGTCGGCTGTAAAACGCAGTAATTTAGCATAGATAAGCGTCGTCGACGCGCCGCCATGTAATTTACAGCCGCCGAGGAGATTAGCTGCGGCGCGGCGCCTGTGGTATCCGACAATCTAATGTATGGGGTATGCTAGGCAAAAAGAACAGGCTGCGTCAAATTTATGGCCAGGTGCCTTTGCTGCCTTGAACAAATAGATTCCTCCTTCCAGCTTTTACACAACTAAACGTAAGATTTTCCTATCGCCCAGACGTACACTGCGTAAGGAATTTCTTAATTACCTACATTATTCATAATTAAAAAAATAATTAGTGGTAAAATGATAAATAATTATTATTCTGTGTCCGTAATTAAACTCGCACAATGAGTAACAGTAAATGTAAGATGAAACCTCAATTCAATAGGAAAATAATTATTAAAACTGTGATTTAAACATTCAAGAGGTTATAATGATCAGTTAAAAAAAATTATGTGTAGTTTATTTTATTTTGCGGCGGTTGGTGAATTAGTGCGACAATAGAGCTTGAACAGTAATATAAAAACAATTGGCTGGTTATAAATTCGTCCTGCAATGGCAGTACAAAAAATATGTAAATAGTCTAATAAATAAATGGCCCGTAAAAGTGTTGGAATGGGCAGTTAGATAAATAATTCGGCAGTTCACAGGAAGCGAAGACATCCGGTGGTCATTTTGATGGAAAAGAGACATTCATAAGAGGGGGTGGGACTTTGAGCATTTTGCTTAATTTAAAAAAAAAAACTAACCTCTAAACAAAATTATTCCGTTCACTATTATTTTTAAACAAATATATTAAAAGTATCTATAAGTTTAAAAAATAGCAATAGGTAGTACCCAATTTTTATTTCATTACCCATTTAATTATTTTTTATGACTCATTTTAGTTCACTTTACTGCAGTTTTACAAATATGCATTTCGTATTTTTTTTTTTTTTACTTACCAAAAGTACACTACACAGCTGTCGCAAATCAGTGCCAATTTAAAATTCTATTCAATTGTAATTCTTCGAAACAGTATTTCAAAGCGCAAAATAATGATTACATAACTTTTGTTTCATAACAATTCAAAAGCAACTTTTAAACATTTGACATTTACCAATATTTTAATATAATCAAAATTTTAACGTTCGTAATTTTGTTTCAGATATATTCTTTAACATAACGTTGAGGAGGAAAACATTGTTTTACACGGTGAACCTTATTGTTCCATGCGTCGGTATATCTTACCTATCCGTACTCGTTTTCTACTTGCCTGCGGACTCCGGTGAGAAGATTGCGTTGAGCATTTCGATACTGCTCTCGCAAACGATGTTCTTTCTGTTGATTTCCGAAATCATCCCCTCGACGTCACTAGCGCTGCCTCTCCTCGGCAAGTACTTGCTGTTCACGATGCTGCTTGTGGGCCTATCGGTGGTCATTACTATAATAATACTGAACGTCCATTACCGTAAGCCGAGCACGCACAAAATGGCGCCGTGGGTGAGAAAGTTCTTCATAACCAAGCTGCCAAAACTGCTGCTGATGCGCGTGCCGAAGGACCTCTTAAGAGATCTCGCCGCCCAGAAAATTGCTGGTAGGAGTATGAAGAAGAACAAATTCAAGAATGCACTGGCCGCGGTTGAGCAAACCCATTCGAATGCGTCCAGTCCCGACTCGCTACGCCACAACATGCCTGGCGGCTGCAACGGTTTGCACTCGACCACTGCAACAAACAGGTAACCCTTCAAACTAAATACAAGTTCCACCAAGAGGTCCATACGAGACTTAAAATATCATAACTTATTTAATTACAGCAAAACTTTCAAATTAATTAATCTAATGTACAACAGGTTCAGTGGTCTGGTTGGAGCACTTGGAGGTTTAGGTGCAGGATATAACGGACTTCCCTCTGTCATGTCAGGCCTTGATGATTCTCTCAGTGACGTTGCTCCCAGGAAGAAGTACCCATTTGAACTGGAAAAAGCTATTCACAATGTTATGTTTATACAGCATCACATGCAAAGACAGGATGAATTCAATGCGGTAAGTTCGAACAAATTGAAAGAATGATAAATAAAAGAAAAATCTACAAGTTGTTCTTACAAAGAAAGGACCACTTATAAATTTTGTTTACATAAATTTAAATACATTTCTAATTATAAAATTTACTTAATTTTCGGACATCTGATAAATCTTTTATATTTCGCAGGAGGATCAAGACTGGGGCTTTGTAGCCATGGTATTGGACAGATTGTTCCTTTGGATATTTACAATCGCTTCAATCGTCGGAACCTTTGCGATTCTATGCGAAGCACCGTCTCTATACGACGACACGAAACCTATAGATATGGTTCTATCGTCGGTGGCACAACAGCAGTTTCTGCCGGTAGATAGTGGCGATTCCTAAACTGGAATACGTGGCCAAAGTTTAGATATAAAGATAAGGCATCTTAAAATATCGCAGTTAATGTAAAATAATAAAGATTGTTTGTTCTTGACATAATGTAAGAGTAACACATGCAACAAATTATGTTCTCCTTTGGTAAAATTCTTGAAATCTGAACTAATTCAGTTACACAATGTGTTCCTTTATACCTTTATATTTATGTGTGAGTATGGATACATTTAACTCTTAATGATATATATATATATATATATATATATATATATATATATATATATATATATATAGTTACATATATACATAGTACTATAAGAATTTTTCGCCAAAATGTTAGGCTGTGAAAAATTTATAGTATGTATGAAAAGTAGATAACGTTGGCTAATGGCTATATGTACGTTACTACGTTACTAGATTTCTTATCTACGTATTTGTTACGTTAAAAAACACCTAAGTTTACTAAGTTTGTTTTAAAATTATATTTAAAATGTTATAGGCATTCAGTGAAAATATTACGTTTCACTTATTTTATAATTTAAACTTCAATATTTACAATACAAAGTCTAACTAAATTACATTTTATCTAATAAACCTATCCCGTGCGGCATGGTGCCAAGAACGCTAGATGCATTTCGTTACTGAATAGTTAACTTTTAAGCGAGAAAAAAACTAGCCCCCTTGTCATCAGCGGCGGCGATAAGTCTAGGACTTAATTTTTTCAAAATTTCAATGTGCAGTATCCCCACGGACCTAATCTTTCAATAGCAAATTGTAAAAATACATAATACGTTGCAGCATCGTGGCAGCTGAAAAAGGTAAGTAACCTTTTCAGCTGCCTCTGATGCTGCCCCGGCCCTGACCGCAGTACCTTTTAGATGAGAGGCAGCCAAAATGTCTACACAAGTAGCACAGATTTGATTCCTTATCTGTAACGATACTGAGCATCAAAATTATTTATCCAGTTAAATGGGACACCATTACCAACATTAGAATGTAGCATGTAAGGTTTTCAGTCGATGAAAAATGGCTGTGTTAGTATCTAAGTTTATTGTCGTTTTTGAATAATTTAAGGATTGCTAATATTGGTACCTCTGTGTTACTGTTTTTGTCTATTTGTTAGCGTTAATCTAAAAGCCAAATTTCGTAATATTAAAGTCTGAAAATTGTTAAAGCTAAGTATGCTCAAAGACGTTTGAAAAGTTTTTCCGTGTAACCTTTATTGTTCTATGAGTCATGAATTACTGTTTAACCTTTTGAATATTACATGAAACTATTATATTAAATAATTAAGTAGTGTTGGCTGAATATTGATTTGTAACTGTTTTTTCATTAAATTAATTAAGCAACATAGTATGAGTCTAGTGCAAGAATTTACGCTCAAAGTTATTATCGATTACGCCAACCCAACAATAAGTGTTTTAAATGTAACAGAAATATTTAATCCATATCAATGTCTTTAAATAGTTTGAAACTCTTAATAAATATACAGATTTATCCTGTTGCAATTATTTTCCTTAATCGTGTTTTGCACGCATAACAGCTGTAAAATAATTAATACAAAAACAAGAACAAGGATAACTTTAAAGTTGATACCCGTTGCTCGAAGTTGTCTTCAATTACGAGGAAGTAAGAATTAAGATTCGAAAACAGATAAAGCAGTAATTAAAAAAAAACCCTACTCCAATAACAGACGACCGCTAGACATCCACTGTTGCAAGCTACATTAATATTTTTTAATAACCAAGTTTTTCAAAAGAACTTGAGCAACGATTTTTCAATCAACGTAAAGCCCTCAGGGCGACTGTGCTTTGGCTTTGGACGAGTACGAAACGGAAGGGCAATGTATCGACTACGTTCTGACGCAGCCGCGCATTGGAATTAAAACCTGTCGCATTCTCACAGGCGAAACCTGTACTGCGTCGGTCCGAGCTATTTGGACGTTTGCCAATCGCATGTACGTTTAGAGTCAAGCCGCAGTTTGCGCTTTAAATCATGAACGTGTTTGTGATGAGTGGCCACACGGTCAAAAAGTTACAATATTCTCACTAGAGTTTAATAGACATATGACGTTCTGCCACTTCAACGCACCTCCGCATGCCCGCTATTCGAAATGAATGATTTATACGGGATAAACAAACGGGTGTGTGGCTTTAGTCATGTCAAATATAATTCAGATCTGTTTGAAAGTTGTAGGAGACTAAAAAAGTAAAGTAAAGTACCCAGTATACATCCCACTGAAAATGTATTAAACTCAGAATTAAATTAATCCCGATGCACCGATCAGCACTGAAAACAAGTAATAATCCTAGACAGATTTTGAGTTAAAATAATATGAACATTTAAGTATCTAGTGATTACTTTGCGTTGTTTTTCGGCACAAGTTTCCTCGTTGTGGGATTGACACCGACCCGGGAGCAAATTCTATGATCTGCCACTCGTCAAAGTAGATTCCGAACTATCTTTATAAGTCTCTATTGGTAATCTTTATTTAAGGTTCAACTGTGTAAAAAAAATATGTTATTTTTTATAATGATATTCTCTGCATTTCTACTGTGGTAGGGCAACAGCCTAGGCTGTTGCACGAATAGGCAGGCTCGTCCGGGTAAGTACCACGACACAGAAGACCGGCGTGAAGTGGAAGTTTCGTCTAAGACTCGTGTTTCGTCTGGTCACTGATGTCGCCGGAGCCCAATTTTCATAAAGGTTGTTCAACGCATCTGCAAACCCTCTGGTGTAGCAGATGTCCATGGGCGATGGTTTTCATTAAAATCAAGTGAACTCGCTTAACAACTTTTCACATAAAAGAAAAACAAGATAACATTTAAAATTTGTAGAAAAATAGATGAAATGTTTTGCGCTGCCATTTGGTATTTGAACCTGTGAACCTCCGAGATACATGCCCTTAACTAAACAGAATATCTTCACGTCGAGGAAATTCACAACGTTTTTATCTACTTTGATTTAACTGCATTCTAAGCAATGCTTGGCGCCATCTACTGTGTTTCCTTTACATAACGACCACTTTTTCGATGAAATTTTCATGATTAAATATTTAAAATTTTGAGATGTCATTTTTGCTGTTAAAATTTAAATCCCGGATCGTATATTAAGTACTGATTCTCATATAACATGTTTAGTTGCGCTTATCTCACTTAAATTTTAGTTCTTGAGTGTTACTGTGAATATTTTGTGTGAAACGAGATTTGCGAGAATTTGGAATTATTTTAAACCAAATAAACACATATCGTTTACATTTGACATTTGGACGGAACCAAGCTCAAATGCCTCTTTGCTTGGTCATGAATTTACAGAAAACTTTGATCCTGAAAAGGCGGGAATATTAATGTTTGTTGAATATAATAAATTAGGACATCAATAAATAAATAAATTTAGGACACACTTTTGCACAACGTTCTCTAGTCCCAAAATATGCAACGCTTGTACTACGGGTACTACATTACGGATAAACATACTTAAACATACTTTTCTTTTGTAAATAAATACATATTATAAATACTTATGTATTAAACCCAGAAAAACACTATGTTCATCACACAATATTTTTCCGGTAGTGGGGATCGAACCACTACGCCATTCGGGTCGCAATACTTTAATTTTCAGTTTTATGTATTAAATATTTAGTGAATATATTAAAAATACTGTCTAATTATTTCTAAACCCATACAGGTTATTGTAAGAGATCTAAAGATCCGCGCCTGTGTCGGATGAGATCCTTAAAAAATCAGCATCCGCGGGGAGGGTTTTGATTTTGTCCCAAGTAAAGTAATCCTCACAAGTCAACAGTCTTCACTGTAGCACGAACGGGCAGGTCCATCCGGGGATGTACCTGTAGTGTCAGCAGTCTAGTAGACGCTTCATATCCGGCCAATCAATCAAATATCTTTATTCTAATAGACGCTTGCGCGTTCTTATGTATCGTCATAAAATTTGACATAATATATATAGGTCCGTAACAGCAACTGCTTTCTAAGCAGTTTCTTCGTAACAGAAACTGCTTTCCGAACCGGTGGTACACCGGTCTCTTCTCAACAGAAAGCAGTTTCTGTTGAGAAGAGACCGGCAAGAAGTTCAACAGTTGCTCTTTTTCAAAAATATCAGTTTACAATATAACATACTGGTATAATAGTCTGACTGTTGATACTCACGTAGGCTAGAATAAGAATTCTAGCCTGTACCTAGCCTAACAGTATTAACTCCACAAATTGGCGTCGTCGAGATATTCCGCAATGGTGTAATATACTTTAACCATAAGTAGACTTTTGATTTTACGTTTTAATTGATCAAGCGGCAGACTTAATATCGACTGTGGGATTTTATTATGCATGCGCCAAGGCGCTAGATAGGCCAATATCAAGATATTATACCTTGCCCCATGGACGACCTATTAATTTTTTGTAGGGGAAACAATGGCGTAGTAAGATTGTCCCTTTTTCTAGTGTTCAATTTATGTATGTCACTATTCTTTAGGTAATAATTAAGGTTATGACGAATATACAAAACATTACAATAAATATATTGAGAAGCAACAGTGAGTATATAAATATAAGGTCAGGTTTTATTCAGTCTTAATAGGTCGGCTGAAGCAAGACCATCTCGGACACTGGTAATCCTAATGTTGTTTCCATGTTATCTTAATTCTTCTGAGGCGTCATCTTACTTTAAACAGGAGCTCGATGGCAGTTCATTGTGCATTTTTTTCCATTTTATAAAATCGGTGCACTTGATTTCACTTAGGTCGTTTTAATTTAACAAAATGAAACAAAAATTCGTACCTTTGCAAAAACAAGAGAACCTATGACAATGGATAAATAAAACTATAATGAGTATTTGTATGTTAAAACTTTTCAATAAACAATTCAGAAATTTTAAGTTATTGCCGAATTTAAGACTACAGAAATTTAAGGAATAATTTAACAGGGAATTTTAAGCTTAAGCTAAGATTTCCTTTTCTAAGATTGAGTTTTTTTTTATTATTTATTATT